GTGAGGGTCCCGGCGGGGCCGCGCTGAGCGTTGGGCGCTGCCGCCCGTTCCCGGGCCTCGGAGCCGCCTTGGCCGCTTTGTTCCGATCTCGGGTCAAACCCCGGGGSAATGGGGACAGCCGGTGCGGGAGCTGTGCTCGGGAGCGCTCGCCCTGGCTCGCCGCGGCAGGCTGGGGCACAGCGGGGACGGAGCCGGCTGCCCCCACACGGGCGGGTCGGGGCTAAGCGCAGCCACCCCCTCGCTGCTCAGGTTGGGCTRAGCTCAGCTGGCCCTCAAGGCGACCCGGGCACCCCCTGCTGTCGGGGCAGCCCGCAGGCTCCGGGTCCCGGCACCGCCCGCGCCCCCGGCCGGTCACGGCCCCCTCACAGCTCAGCCCCGCCAGCTGCCCCAGCCCGGCTGCTGCTRCAGCTCCAAAGAGGGTAGGGGAGCACGGGTTATAATCAACAGAATTAAAAATAGGCCTTGAATAAACTGAACACCCGGAGAGGCCAGAAATTTCTTGTGCAGCTGGCACGTTAGGAGGAAAGTGAGTGATATTATTCAAACAAAGGTAATCCCAGACACCACAGCGCGGGAGCTGCGACTACCAGGCAAGTACCTTTAAACTTGTTTACAAAGCAACCCCCAGCGAAGTGAGCGCCTGCACCGAGCAGTGTAACCCCCCACAGCCTGCTCCGCCAGGCAGCTCCAATATTTGTGAAATTAGAGTTTGCTTTCTAGCTGGACTTACAGCTTGAGGATCTCTCGCTGAAAAAGATGCTTAAGAACCCAAACCCGTTTGATTTAAATACCAAWCTGGTTTGTATTTAAGTTTCTTACRGAGCTATCTTTAAGATAATTGCTCTGAAGCATTGTATGTGGGTTGCCTCAGCTGATGTTCACAAGTCGATCCTGGGAAGGGAGAGACTGTCCAGCCAGTTACACTTGAGAAAATGTGAAACAGACTATGAATAAAATGCTAAGTTCAAAAACAAAACTTGGGAGAAGCAAAATAAGAGTTTTTTTTCTTTTTTTCTTTTGTTAATATTTTAAATGCTGTTTATAGTTCGGGACATTTATGGGTTTTTTTATAACTAGGATAGAATTTTCAGACAGAAATGGGATTTTTAATATCAGCAGTCTTCCTCAGATCATTTTTATTGAGGAAATATGCTTGTACGGCTGTGGAAGCCATTGTGATGCTTGGAGTAAAAGAGTACAGAAGGAGAAGACTGGGTTAAATKAATTCCTACTAAATACCTACCAGCAGACTTGCTGTCTGTATGGGGAGCTGGAGACAGAATTGTACCAGGGTARAAAGGATACTGTGTCTATTTATAGTGCTGCCTTCAACACCATAGGAATTCAAAGGAAAACTCCAACTCGGCACACARTCTTCTCATCATCTTCTTCTGACAAGATTAAATGGGGCCTGAGATAATTTCCCCTAAAAATCTTTCCTAGGAAGGATCTGTTCCTTGGTGCAACAAGGAACTACCATGGTACAAATCACTCCAGAGGTTAAGTCCTCACCCAGTCAAATATCACCACTTTTCTTTCGGTAGTCAGAGGAAGGGGAGAAAGAGACTCTTACAAGCCTCAGCACTTAAGCAGGAAAGACCAAAAATATTTCACCTGCCATGCATCCCTGCTCCTTATACTGTCCCCTGCCCTTCTTTCTCACACTAGGTGCTCTGGGGCACTTGCAAACCAAAGGCTAAGTGTAGGTCCAGTGCAATCCCAGTGCCAGGCAGCAAAGAGGAATAGGAGCTGGATACTGGCATACAGTCATGGTTATTCATGGTGTAGCTTGAGATGAGGTCCTTACCCTGTGTGCTCCTCTTGCTGCTGCAGAACCATCCATCTCTGGGAAGGAATGGTCTCCAGTAGGTGTGTGGAGCACCTATTTATCAGTAGAAACTATCTCTAATGTTGAGAGTACAWATGAAAGCAGCTTTGGAAAGGGTATTAGCAAAAATCTGAGTGCCACTCTAAAAAACAGTAGACTCCTGGAGTTCCTTAGCTCCATTCTTCTCTTAGCATCATGGTGCCTCAGATGTTTCCTTCTCATCTTCCACCTTCCAGTTTCTCTTTAATAAGATCTGCTTTTTTATTCTTCACAAAGCACTACCTACCCTGTCTCAATGCTCCTCTTTTGTAATTCTGTTACCARGCTGTCTGCTAGGTGGGGAGCAGAAGGTGCAGCACTTGGTGCTGCCTTTGAGGTACAGGTAATTATTATGTGCATCTGTTATTGTGGTTGCTGCCTCAACAGGTGGAAAACATGCTGCTCTCTGATAGATGGAAAACATGCTGTTCTCTGATAGATTCACAGCACTCCATGCTCCTGCCTTGTCTTTTCTCTAAAGCTAGTCGTGTGGTGTTCCTAAAATAACAAACACAGCCTCACTGCTGCCACAAAAACCCCTGGTAAATATATTTTTATGGGAATGAAGTATTAAMGGATTTGAACACTTACTCACTGAAAGCAAAATATGAGCAGTAAGGTTGGGTAAAGATTCAAAGGCTGGTTTGCTTCCTTTCCCTGGGGCATATCAAGGCTATACTGTTTGCACTTTGGAGATGGATAGTGGGGAATTACTTAACCCAAAATGATGGAAACAATTCAGACTATAATAATATAGCATGAGAGTTTCTCATATTACATCTATTCCCTATACTGCTGGCTATACTCTGCCTTCAGATTCACGTGCACAACTCTCATTGGAATCTGGAGGAACTGTATTTGAAGCCAAAATGCATTTCATTGTCATTCTGAAGTCTCTCTGCAGTTTAGTGGCTAATCTCTGAGCTCGAGAACTGGGAACAAAGCTTGTCTAAACATTTCCCAGTGTCTGTCTCTGTGAGATTCCCATCTGTTGTGTTTTATTTTGAATTTAATCTTCCTACTTTCCTAAAAACACAAACCAAAAACAGACATTTCCTCTACCCCGGAGTGCAGAAGTCACCTAATTTCCCAGCAGGTTCTCTCACAACATACAGTGGATCCAAGTTTGTCTAAAAAATGCTACAAGCCCTTTGTGGAGTAGTGAGGGAGGAGACTGGAAACGCGGGCCAAATTTCTGAGTGTTATGAACACCCCAGTCCCCCAAAGGGACTCCATTTCCTGTTTCCTCTCTCCCAAAAATGTCACCTGGCTTTGGATTTCATTAACAGAAATATACATTGCTTGAGTCCAGCTTCTACTTCTTCGGTTTGTGCTTCCTGCTGACAATGCAGAGACTACAAGAGCCACAAAAGCTGAGTCTGACTTTGGGACTTCAAATTTGCTACAATAGCAGAGCAAATTAACTGGAGAGCATGTTAAGTGGATTGGGAGATTGTTGTTGACCAACAAATCTTCATTAAGTTCCAGCACCAAGCTGTGCTGCACCTCTAATGAAACTGATCATTGTTTCTCCTATGTTTCAACTATTTCTCCACCAGGTTTAAATGAAATTGAAACCTTCTTGAGGTCTAATTAGACATAAAATACAATATTAATCCATCTTGCTCCATACATAGAGTTTGGAGGTGTTGGTGCATCTTTCAAATAGGCCAAGTTTCACTCTGTTCACCACCAGTTACTTACCGCCTTGGTTTTTGATAGCTCTTTTATTTACTGCCAGTGACTCATGGAGACTTTGTTCACTGGTTTAATGTGACTTTCGGGATCACTGGTTTGCATCACCATTACTGGTTTGCATCTCCAGATGTTTCAGTTCAAGAGTTGCCAGTATGAGSCCCAAGAATTCATATGATTTGCACCTCCCAAAAGCAAAGCCTGTRCCCAGAATAACATAAGCTTTCACAGGATTAGAGCAAAGTCCTGTTGTAATTATGTTTGTGATTGAAGGGAGCTATCACAACTGGGATCTCTGAGAGACTTCCCCACAGACCATTACCAAAATACAGCTCCATAGGAATAACTCAGGTGCCAGGTTACTCTGCTGTACGAGCTTTAAAAACACTCTGTCCAGTTTAGGACAGAGAGGTTCAAGGGAAAAATGCAAAGTAAACACAAGGAAGTACTCAGCCTTACTGAGAATGACACAGCCTTATCATCTGCAGGGTACCTGCAGAGCAGGATCCTCTGTCCCAGACTGTCTTTGCCACAAGAGAAGAAACAATTWCTGAGCATCTCTTTTAAGTACAAGGTAAGAAGCAAAARGTACCTGMAAATACAGCATAAATGGGGAAGTTASYCTTCAGTATTATTCTTTGACAGATRCTATTTATGGTGGCAAACTACTTTTTGGATGTGGAGCTTGGCCATACCCCCTACCGTATTGTCCTCAGAGTCACATAACWCTTGAMCAGTTCAGATGGCCCTCAACCTTTCCCATATAGAAAAAARAGAATCAATTATTTGGGTTTATGCAGTAGCACCCCAGTACACAAACTTACGGGTTCCCAGCACTTGGGCACTGCAACCTTCCCTTCACTTGCCTGTTTGTCCCAGGCAAGACTGGAGAGTGCAACCACAACAGCTGCCTTCTAATGGGATACAATTTTTTTTTTATATATATATTAGAAGTTACCTGTTTTCTATGCTGTAGAAGAAAATATGTTCTGTTTTGTAGTGGGTGATCTATGACATTTGGGGGAACATTTTTAACTGCTAGTTTGTTTTAGAAAAATGGTAAGAGTTAACCTGAAGGAGGAGAAATGATCAAAAATACCTAAAATCCCAAGAGCTAASACAATTGCTGGGAAATTTTAGACCTCAAAACAGCTCTGCTACAGAATATGATGAATTCCTATTTTTTCCCCCTCCACAGGCTTATTAGTGAGATTTTACAATGAGAAGAAAGCAATTTGCTTAGCTGACTTGGGATTTCATCTCCTTCCATTGCATTACTTAGACTATACACAYATCAGCAAGCAAGCCTCAGCTGTGTTCAGTCTCACTCTGACCTTGGTACTAATTTGATTTACTGGTTTTAGTTCTCAAATAGTGTATTACGTTATAACTCAAAGGATCTGATTAGAACTAGCCAGTATTTTAATGATTTATGAGGGGCATCTGGGACTGCATGGGTAGCATCACATTGTGTCACTGCTGTAGGAGGAATCTGTACTGATCATAYCAGCATGCTCCAAGACAAGAGCGTGTCAAATTCCTATAAGCCTTAGTTCACAAACCTCATCTGACAGGTGGCCAAGCTTGCACTGGGACTGGCCATAGTTCTCATGGTGGGAATAAAACAAAACAGCTGGATTGCTTCTAGCCATTGCATTATGAGAGGATTTCCATTCCTTTCTCTTGTTCTATTTCTATCTTGCAGTGCTTAAGAAGGTGTTTATCCTTCCCAGTTTTGTAGCCAGAAACCTGGGCCACAGGAACTTGCAATCAGCTCTGTGGTTTATCTGTCTGCCAGAAGACATTGGTGTGAAATACAGGCTACTGGAACTAACCTTCCAAACCTCTCCATGTCCTGCCATGGCTATCACATTGCTAGCAAGTCTCAGATCAGAGAGGCCTGGGGTGTGAGAAAGATAAAGAAACAATTAGCACAGTTAGTTTAAAGCCATTATGTCGCTGCATATAATAAGAGATTGTACTATTATTTTTTTTTTTAATAACTGTAAAAAACAACTTTGCAAGCACAGAAAGAAGGGTACCAGGAGTAGAGTGATAAAATAGTTTCTTGTCCTTGGTTTGATTTTATGTGTTCTGAGTTTTCTTTTGAGTATGGAAGGCARCATCTTCCAAGGTGCTTCTAAAAAGCCTCGTACTCCAGCATGGAGGTCTAACCTTGACCATTACTCAATTCCTATTATAAACTGCCTTTCACTCACTAGAAGTGAGTAAAAGCTTTTGACCCACATTAAACCCAASGGCAATTCTTTACTCAGGTCCAGCTATCACTACCAGTGTTTGGCAGCACTTTGCCCCTAGGCTGCCTCCCAGCTCAGACTTGTGGAGAGATGTAGAAAATCATCAAGCTTAATTTTACCACTACCTGTGCAGCAGCAACAGCACTGTTTCTCACAGGATCACTATAATAACAACTATGAAAGGCATTCCAATGCCCAAGAAACACCAGGGGATCTTAGCTGCCTACTGTTTCCCATATTACTTCCTAGCAGATTGCTCAAAACTCCTGCTGTACCAGTGTAGGGGATGTCTGCTATCTCCTGTAGGTTGGGTAGCACAGAGCTGTCTTTGTGGTGCTGGTAGAGACCACAGGACACGAACAAAGAGCAGTGAAAGAGCAGTGAAACTTTCAATGCCCTGAAACAGGAAAGAAAAAAAAAAAAAAAAAAAAAGCAGCAATATATTGTTTTTAAGATAGAAGAACATACCAGAGCTAGTCACAAGGGAGAAGGGCTTTGCATTGTGCCATCCTTTTGGTTAGATCCTTGGGGCAGAAACCATTCATTTGTAACGGGATTCTTTGAGTTCTGAAGCCTGATGTTTTCAGTTCTGGGCTGGAGGACACTGCTGCACTAGTTATTGTTAACAGCAGCCTCATTAACCTTCAGATGTGGGCTGCTAGATTCTCTTGGGCCACAGGACACAGACCTAAGGGACTGCATTCCAACTGGGGTTTTGTGCAAGTCACAGCGCAGGAAACCCTTGGCCTCTAAACCTTGGCAAAGCAAGAAAATACCATGACTTCAAGTCATTTAGGATGTGACSTGGGGAAATTAGATGAGGCTAGATTAAGAGTATGCAACATGGAGTAAATCTGAAGAGCCAAACCATGCTTGAGAAGCTGGAAACARCACTGGAAGTGACACTTTGTCCTTCTTTGAATAAGCTCAATGTAGCACGCCCAGCAACACCCCTAGTTTTCTCATGCTGTGTTCAGCTGGGTGTGAGCTGTCCAGGTCAACACCCCTTACCTAGCAGACTGTCTACAAAAGAGTGCAGGATTTGGGCTGCATGGCAGTCACAGTTTCACCCCAAACAGCCATGGAGGTGGAGCAGAGAATGGGCCTGTGCTACAGCATCAACAGGCTCTATCTCCCATGCAGTGACAGAGTGAGGCTGAAGTGTATCACCACAAAGGTGAGCCTCCAGTCTACTAAGTCTGCATCAGAGATACAGACTCAGCACATTTCAGGCCTTCTGTGAATAAATTCAACCTTGTTCCTCTCCCCAGGGTCATGCTGTACTAACATCATCCAGTAGYGAGAGCAACACAGGCTGCAAATATCAGTAAAGCATTGCTACAAGCCATGAACAAGCAACTAGGATTTATGGTCTTCAGGGATGGTGAGGGTTTTGGAGTAGTTGTACCAAAAGAAGCAGTGTCAGCCAGACAATCCAGCTGGTTCTACTGGCAGCTCCAAGAGGAAATCAAAGTGGCACATGTTGCTCCTGATTTAGAGCCACCTGCATCAAGTTGCCATCCTGTCTTTCAGAAATGTTTCRTCTTTCAATTTTTCCAGTAAGCTTCTGAGAGTGCTTCTAGAAGGACAAATGTGGAGTTTACCAATTCAGAGAATACCAGTTTTCACCCCCAACGTGTTATTGCTGGAGGCAAAAGAGATATAACAGTTCTTGAGCCCAGAAGAAGGGCCAACCTTAACACAGAACAACTACATTTTAGGTAAGCTTGTCTTCGAGTGCAAGCCCAGTGATATCAAGAGTGTTTCATAGCATGTCTAAGAGCTATTTAGTGCTACAATGCTGTAGATTGGGATTTTTGTTTTCTCAAGTAGTGAAACATGTCACTACTGAATGGAGGATGGAGTTACAGACTGTCAGAATTGACAGTGAATTCTGATGGCTGAAATTCATTGCAGGAGAGGACACCAGCAATGATGTTCGATGTAGGAGCAGTAGCCTGGCCAGGAGCTAGAGAGACTATCAAATAAGGGCATGGTGCTGCAGTCACAAATAGCATGGAGATATGGTAGATGCATTTTGGACCAGCTACTGCCTTTGGGTCATATAAAGTGTGTCGGCTGGTCTAGCACATCAGGTTGGGTTAATGGGTGTAAGAATGCACTTGGCAGCTGAGAGCAGAGGTACCAATGGGCTCCAGAGGGCCTAGTTCTGCAGCTGAACTTCTATGCTCACAGCCAAAAGCCACATCTTTACTGGGACTAGGGCTGGAAGGGAACTGACTTTGCTTTACTTGCTTGCCAATAGCCAAGTTCAAGTCCTTAGAGCTCTACAATGCTCTTACTCCAGCTGATGACTTCATGAACACCTAGTGCTGGGAGGAACACAGCTCCCTGCACAGCCTTAAACTCTATGTTTCCCTGCATATGCAATGACATCATTGCCACCTGAGGGCCTAAACTCTGGTCTTGGCMGGTAAAAGCCTTTTGGGTCACCTTACATTGGGGTTCTTGCTCTCAATGCATATTTATGTAATGATTGCTGGATGGCTGTAATTAAATGACTGTAAAGCACTACCTAAAATGCACCAGTAATAAATTCTTAATAGCTGATGCTATAACAAGCAGTTACACAAAAAAAAATATCGTAACATGCAGATTGTTAACAGTGTCTGGGCCTGTTTAATACTCAGCTTTAAATAGTTACAATGCACAGTATTAAAAGGGCATGTAAAATTTGTAACTAGTAAATAAAAAGTCCAATTCAGAAACAAAATATACCCAAGTTTCAGTGGTATAGAAAAGCTTGGGGTGGATAAACTATCTCCCCTTACCTCTGCAATCCTTCTGGTGGTGCTACCTATTAGCCATGGTTTCTGTAAAGCATACTACATGTACGTTCCTTTGCCTGCTACAGATTCTGTCCTGACTCATAAACATGGTTAAGATTCCACTTACAAATATGCAACTATGTACAGCAAACTGTGGGTTTGCATTTTGTGAGGAAGGGATGGATCAGGGAAAATTAATTTTGCTGTTCTTATTTTTCACTTCTCTTATCCACTCAAAGCTGCTGTGTGGGCAGTAACTCTACAGCGTTGGTTTCCCATGGCTAAAGAATGAAATAAACACAGGTTCAAGACCCAGAAGAGTTAGCAAAATCAGCAGGTGGCCAGGTTTTGCACACTTGGTACAACATTGCTGCACATCAAAGGATGGCTCCGTCTGTCAGCCACTGTCAGSAATGCATACATGGCTGGTGTATACAAATGTACTAACCAGCTGATGACAAGAGAATATTTTATACTACAGTCACAGAAAAAAAACCCTGAGGCCACCCTGCCTTGGGGCCTGCTTG